TCCTCCTCCCCAAAGATAAACAATTTCCTGATGTGTAAGACCACAGATTACTTTTGTTTGCTTTTCAGCTTTACATTATTCTTTATGTTATTCTACATATTCTTTACATTTGATTTCTTTTGCTTAGCACTATGTTTGTAAGCTACATCCCATGAACATGTCAATTTGTTCATTTTAATTATATAGGGTATGTGATTATATGAATATACTATAATTTATTCATTTTTTCCAATAGTGGACAATTTGAGTTGTTTCTAGTTTTTGGCTATTAAGAATAACTTGGCTATGTATATTCTTGGTTATGTCTTTTGTAAACATGTGCATGCATTTCTGTTGAACATATACTTTATTTAGGAGTAGAACTGCCAAGTCATAGAACTTGCAGTGTATGTTCAACTTTGGTAGATACTGCCAATTTTCCAAAGGAATTGCTTCATCTGCATAATTTGTGGGGCTCAGCAAGAAGTAAAAATGTTGGACCTCTTGTTTAAAAAGCAGGAAAAAGCCCTATTAAAGATACTTAAATATAAAGCTTTTTCATTTCTTTTGCAATCTCTTGACTTGCCATGATGCTTTTTACTTTCTATTTAATGTAGTAAATAAAAAATCATTTAAAATTATTAGCACAAATTTTGCTATTGATCTTTATATTTTGCAATGCTAGTTTTAAATACAAATTTAAAAGGGGGGTTAATGCATATGTGGAATCACCAAAATGACACAATTTGTGTTTCATGGCTTGTACGTATTTATTTCATTCTTATAAGAACTGTGGAAAAGTCACACAAAACTAAATCAATTATTTTTATTTCACTTCCTGATACATGCAAACTACAGCAACACTCTTTAACTTTAGCTTATTGCAAAGGATAGCCTGAAAAGAAAAGGAACTATGATTGCCATATTTTTCCTTTTCCTTCTGTGTCTTCATTTTGAGTGTAAGCGGTTGACATTTACAGGGAAAGCACACAAGTAAAAAGTGATGTGGGCCGGGCGCGGTGGCTCACGCCTGTAATCCCAGCACTTTTGGGAGCCGAGGCGGGCGGATAACGAGGTCAGGAGATCGAGACCATCCTGGCCAATATGGTGAAACCCCGTCTCTACTAAAATACAAAAAAATTAGCCGGGCATGGTAGCGGGTGCCTGTAGTCCCAGCTATTCGGGAGGCTGAGGCAGAGGAATCGCTTGAACCCAGGAGGCGGAGGCTGCAGTGAGCTGAAATCGCGCCACTGCACTCCAGCCTGGCAACAGAGTGAGATTCTGTCTCAAAAAAAAAAAAAGATAAAAAAAGAATGTGACAGCCTGTAATCCCAGCGCTTTGGGAGGCCAAGGCTGGAGGATTGCTTGAGGCCAGGAGCTCAAGACCAGCCTGGGAAACACAGAAAGACACTGTCTCAAAAAATTTTTAAAATTAGGGCACGGTCGCTCATGTCTATAATCCCAGCATTTGGGAGGCCGAGGTGGGCGGATCACCTGTGGTCAGGAACTTGAGACCAGCCTGGCCAACATGGTGAAACCCCGTCTCTACAAAAAATACAAAAAAGTTAGCTGGGCGTAGTGGTTGATGCCTGTAATCCCAG